TATCTTATTCCAACTCTAGTGCCACGGAAAGAAAGGGAGAGAAGGAGGCCGGAAATGCGTCGGCAGAAAATATTGAGGGAGAAAGAAAAGAGCAAGTAAATTCGTACTTGCTCTTGGTGCGAATATTAATGAGGAGGGGAGGCCTCTATTTATAGCGTGAGGCCTCCAACCGACCCTCCATCCAACGGCCCAGAAAAATTGCATCTACGGCGTGGAGGAAGCTGGGGCGCGGATCCACCTCCTCAAATACCGGGTCGTGCAAGTCATGCGGCGACTCGAGCATGTTCTCGATCCTTCCTTCCTCACGTCCTCACGTGTGGTGACTTGGTCAATCATGACCTGGTCATCCACACGGCCCAAATGCATGGCAAAGGCCCAATGGCCTAAAAAATAAAATAAATAGATAAAATAAAGATTTATTTTTGTACAAAAAGAATGTTGGGCCCAAGCCCAAGCCCGACCCGAACCGAGCCGAGCCGAGCCGGCCGGACGGCGGCGGAGGAGGAGGTGGTGGTGGTGGTGGTGCGCGCGCGCGCGCGTGTGTGGGGGTTTTGTTTGTGTGAGTCCTCACCCACTCACAAAACCCATTGTACCCCTTGGGGCACACCCCAATGGTGGGACTTGAGCCTTATAAGGCCTTCCACCTTCCCTTCTCCAACCAATGTGGGACTTGGAGAGTTTTTTGAAATTCACACTCCAAGCTCCCTCTTTAATGGCCACTTTAATGTGCTTGAATGCATCTTGAAACCAACTCTTTTCAACAATCCCCCACTTGATATTTTAAAAAACGATTTTCGGGAATTTCTGTGGTCTCAATAAGATTGTGCATAAACAAAGGTGTCATACGACTTGAACCTTTGCATAGTGAGTAAGATCCAGATTTTACTAGAGTGACTCGTAGTCTTGAACTCTATCTCCGGCATCAAACCACACACAACCTTTTCACAGGTGTATTCAATAAAGCCCGTGCGTTAAAGGCCATGCACGTCTATCCCAGTTTAGTGAACGCTCTAGAAATTTATGCCTCTTAAATTTCATAGAAAGCGGCCCCCACTTTCACATTCACATAGGTGAGTCTATCAAGAGTACTCCTGTAGTCTAGGTACTCCACTCCAATTGGAGTATAGATCTCATTAAGAGTTTAACTCATCCTTACATATACTGCAGGATTCATGCTTCTCAAAATTTCATAGCATGTCCATTCTCATATCACTTCACAACTTGTTATTACCCATTGAACCTATTTCTTGGGGTCTCCAGTCAGTTAGGTCGGGTTACCATCGTGAGTGATCTTCGTTCTAAAGGCAATAGTCCCATAAGCTTAGAGGTATTATGGACTTTCTCTCTAGCTAGTCCTTTCGTCAAAGGATCTGCTAAGTTATTCTCAGTGCGTACGTGATCCACTCTCACAGCTCCTGTAGAGAGAAACTCTCTAATGGTGTTGTGTTTACGACGTATTTGTCGTTTCTTACCGTTATAAAAACGGTTCTCAATCTTTGCAATAGCCGCGGTACTATCACAATGGATCAACACAGCTGGTATCGGTCTTTCCCATAGGGGAATCTCAGCTAGCAAGCTTCTAAGCCAGCTTGCTTCTTCACTAGCTGTTGCTAGTGCTATCATCTCAGCTTCCATAGTGGATTGAGCCAAAATAGTCTGTTTCTTTGATTTCCAAGAAACAGCTCCACCAGCTATGCTAAATATATAGCCACTGGTTGCTTTGGAATCATCTGAAAGAGTGTTCCAATCAGCATCGCTGTATCCTTCTAGGACAGCTGGAAACCTTTTGTAATGTAAACCAAGGTTTATAGTTTTCTTAAGGTATCTCATTACCCTTTCAATAGCATGCCAATGCTCCATACTAGGTCTACTGGTAAACCTGCACAATAGTCCAACAACATAGGCAATGTCGGGTCTAGTGCAATCAGTGGCATACCTAAGGCTGCCAATGATGCTAGCATATTCTGTTTGTCTTACACCTTCACCAGTGTTCTTAAAAAGTTTTACACTTGGGTCATATGGTGTGCTAGCAGGTTTACAGTCAAAGTATTTATATTTCTTTAGGATCTTTTCTACATAATGTGATTGATCCAGAGAAATTCCTTCCTTTGACCTAGTAATCTTTATACCAAGGATTACATTTGCCTCTCCAAGGTCTTTCATATCAAAGTTGTTACACAACATTGATTTCACATTATTCACAACATGAATGTTGGAACCAAATATGAGTAGGTCGTCTACATAGAGACATATGATAGTGTAAATGTCATTTTCTGATTTGTAATAAATGCATTTATCACTTTCATTCACCTTAAACCCATTCGATATGATTAAGTTATCAAACTTTTCATGCCACTGTTTAGGTGCTTGCTTAAGACCATACAATGACTTGTCTAACTTGCAGACTTTATTTTCTTGCCCATGGATTACAAAACCTTCAGGTTGTTCCATGTAGATTTCTTCTTCCAAATCACCGTTTAAAAAAGCGGTTTTAACATCCATTTGATGTACTACTAAATCATGTATCGCAGCGAGCGATATTAGTACTCTAATGGATGTTGTTCTAGTAACGGGTGAAAATGTATCGAAGAAATCTACATTCTCTCTTTGTCTGAAACCTTTGGCTACAAGGCGGGCCTTGTATTTATCCACTGTGCCATCAGGTTTCAGTTTCTTTTTCAAAACCCACTTACAACCAATCGGTTTGCAACCAGGTGGCAAGTCAGTCAAATGCCAAGTCTTGTTAGACTCTAGAGAATCCATCTCATCATTTATGGCTTCTTGCCATAAATCAGCATCCAAGGAAGTCAAAGCTTCTTGGATAGTTGATGGATCATCTTCCAATGTATAGACCATATAATCAGGTCCATACTCCCTAGCAGTTCTTGTTCTCTTACTTCTTCTAGGTTCTACTTCTAACCCATCATCACTATCTCTAATCACAGGTGTGTGACTAGATGATGTGCCCCCACTATTCCTCAATTTAAAAGGGAATTTCTTTTCATCAAAGTCAGCATCATTAGACTCAATGATTACTTTAGCGTTAAGGTCATAAAACCTGTACGCTTTGCTGTTTATAGCATACCCAATGAATACACATTCATAGGCTCTACTAGCGAGTTTAACTCTCTTGGGGTCTGGTATCCGGACATAAGCCAGACAACCCCAAGTTCTGAAATAAGACAAATTAGGTTGTCTATTCTTAAAGAGCTCATATGGGGATACTTTGCTCTTAGTCTTGGGGACTCTATTTAGCACATAACACACAGTTAATAAAATTTCACCCCACCAAGAGGGTGCTGCACCAGAACTTAACATGATAGCTACTACTAATTCAGTTAATGTTCTATTTTTTCTTTCAGCTTTACCATTCATTTCAGGTGAATATGGTGCAGTTGTTTCATGAATAATGCCTTTTAATTTATAAAAATCATTAAACATGCTAGAATCATACTCAGTGCCTCTATCGCTCCTGAGTTTCTTTATTTTCTTATTGAATTGATTTTCAATTTCAGTTACATAGACTTTAAACATATCAAGTGCATCACTTTTATTTTTCATAAGATAAATATAAGTGAAATCAGAGCAGTCATCTATAAAAGTTATAAAATATCGTTTACCATTTCTGGTTAACGTTCCATCTAATTCACATATATCAGAGTGTATCAAATCTAAGGGTTCAGATTCTCGCACTACTGATTTATGTGATTTTTTTGTTATTTTAGCTTGACTGCATGATTCACAATTTTCAAAATCATTTTTAGATAACTTGGGAATTAATCCTAAATTACTCAAATTTGTAATAGCACGTTTATTGATATGACAAAGTCTAGAATGCCAAATAGAAAAATCACACAGCATGTAAATAGAATCAGAAATTTTATTAATTGAAACTTCAACATTTAACTTAAACATGCCATCAGTGGCGTACCCCTTCCCTACAAATACCCCATTCTTAGTAAGAGTGTACAAGTCTGCTCCTATTGTCTGGGTAAAACCAGCCTTATTAAGAAGAAAACCTGATACTAGATTCTTCCTCATCTCTGGAGTATGCATCACATCTTTGAGTATCAGAGTTCTCCCAGATGTAAACCTCAGCTCCACATCACCAGTTCCAGCAACAGTAGTGGTGTGAGAGTCTCCCAGCAGCACTTTCTTGTTATCAGCATTCGTGTATGTTTTGAACATAGCACGATCATAGCAGACATGGCGGGATGCACCAGTATCTACCCACCACCCATCACTTCCTCCAATCATTGTGACTTCAGTTAACACTGCCACAAGTGGATCCTCAACCATGTTAGCTTGTGGAGTATGATCCACTGGTTGGTTCCTGCACTTTCGTGCCATATGACCTGGCTTCCCACACTTGAAGCAGATAAATAGGTTGCCAGAGTCATTCTTAGCGGGTGGTTTAGCATATTGGACCTTTTTAGAGTTCCAATTCTTGTTGCGGCCGGTGATCTTAGCCTTATTCCCATTGCGGTTCTGATTCTTAAAGTTGCTGCCCGAAGGCTTCAGAACTGCACCTGAGAATTTCTTTCTAGTGCTATGGCTTGATAAAGCCAACACTTCTTCATTCTGATCTTGCTTACGAGCCTCTTCCTCAATGCGAAGACGAGTGATCAGAGATTCCAAAGAAAATTCTTTGGTCTTATGTCTTAGGACGTTTTTAAAGTCCTTCCAGCTAGGTGGCAGTTTGTCAATAATGACAGCTACCTGAAATTGCTCATCTAAGGGCATACCCTCAGTGATGATCTCATGAGCAATTTTCTGAATCTCGTGGGACTGAGATTCTACTGATTTATCATCAGTCATCTGATACTTGAGGTAGCGGCTAACAGCATATTTCTTAGTCCCAGCTTCCTCAGTATCATATTTCTTTTTGAGTGCCTGCCAAACTAATTTGGCAGATTTATATGGGATGTAATAATCATATAGATCATCAGACAACCCACCAAGAATGAAATGCTTACATAAGTAGTCATTATCATTCCACAGAGCAATATCCATAGCTAGTTTTTCCCTTTCCTCTTTCTCAGCTTCTTCAGGGACTACTGGAATATCTTCCTTCAAAACGTGGGCAACTTTTTTAACCGTTAGGAAAAATTCCATCTTGGTTTGCCAGCGTTTGAAGTTAGTCCCGTCAAACCTGAATGGTCTGCTTAGGTCGAAGCTGTTCGGACCAGTAATATTATCTACGAGTGCCATTGCAGACGAAACGTCTTAAAATTGTTGTATCAGTAGCCTGCAACAATGACACGAGATAATCTTTACTGGCTGAGTCACGACCAGGTCGCTCTCTTTAAGACGTTTCGTGGTACTGCCTCAAGGTGCAAGCAGACTATCAACCACGCCGTCCCCAGGATAAAACAGCCCAGATCTCTGTTATACGATATCTTACTGCACTGTAAGAATCGCTATCGAATACACCCAAAATATGGCTACCAGTGCCAATTCAGAAATACCCACAATATTGGAATATCTTATTCCAACTCTAGTGCCACGGAAAGAAAGGGAGAGAAGGAGGCCGGAAATGCGTCGGCAGAAAATATTGAGGGAGAAAGAAAAGAGCAAGTAAATTCGTACTTGCTCTTGGTGCGAATATTAATGAGGAGGGGAGGCCTCTATTTATAGCGTGAGGCCTCCAACCGACCCTCCATCCAACGGCCCAGAAAAATTGCATCTACGGCGTGGAGGAAGCTGGGGCGCGGATCCACCTCCTCAAATACCGGGTCGTGCAAGTCATGCGGCGACTCGAGCATGTTCTCGATCCTTCCTTCCTCACGTCCTCACGTGTGGTGACTTGGTCAATCATGACCTGGTCATCCACACGGCCCAAATGCATGGCAAAGGCCCAATGGCCTAAAAAATAAAATAAATAGATAAAATAAAGATTTATTTTTGTACAAAAAGAATGTTGGGCCCAAGCCCAAGCCCGACCCGAACCGAACCGAGCCGAGCCGGCCGGACGGCGGCGGAGGAGGAGGTGGTGGTGGTGGTGGTGCGCGCGCGCGCGCGTGTGTGGGGGTTTTGTTTGTGTGAGTCCTCACCCACTCACAAAACCCATTGTACCCCTTGGGGCACACCCCAATGGTGGGACTTGAGCCTTATAAGGCCTTCCACCTTCCCTTCTCCAACCAATGTGGGACTTGGAGAGTTTTTTGAAATTCACACTCCAAGCTCCCTCTTTAATGGCCACTTTAATGTGCTTGAATGCATCTTGAAACCAACTCTTTTCAACAATCCCCCACTTGATATTTTAAAAAACGATTTTCGGGAATTTCTGTGGTCTCAATAAGATTGTGCATAAACAAAGGTGTCATACGACTTGAACCTTTGCATAGTGAGTAAGATCCAGATTTTACTAGAGTGACTCGTAGTCTTGAACTCTATCTCCGGCATCAAACCACACACAACCTTTTCACAGGTGTATTCAATAAAGCCCGTGCGTTAAAGGCCATGCACGTCTATCCCAGTTTAGTGAACGCTCTAGAAATTTATGCCTCTTAAATTTCATAGAAAGCGGCCCCCACTTTCACATTCACATAGGTGAGTCTATCAAGAGTACTCCTGTAGTCTAGGTACTCCACTCCAATTGGAGTATAGATCTCATTAAGAGTTTAACTCATCCTTACATATACTGCAGGATTCATGCTTCTCAAAATTTCATAGCATGTCCATTCTCATATCACTTCACAACTTGTTATTACCCATTGAACCTATTTCTTGGGGTCTCCAGTCAGTTAGGTCGGGTTACCATCGTGAGTGATCTTCGTTCTAAAGGCAATAGTCCCATAAGCTTAGAGGTATTATGGACTTTCTCTCTAGCTAGTCCTTTCGTCAAAGGATCTGCTAAGTTATTCTCAGTGCGTACGTGATCCACTCTCACAGCTCCTGTAGAGAGAAACTCTCTAATGGTGTTGTGTTTACGACGTATTTGTCGTTTCTTACCGTTATAAAAACGGTTCTCAATCTTTGCAATAGCCGCGGTACTATCACAATGGATCAACACAGCTGGTATCGGTCTTTCCCATAGGGGAATCTCAGCTAGCAAGCTTCTAAGCCAGCTTGCTTCTTCACTAGCTGTTGCTAGTGCTATCATCTCAGCTTCCATAGTGGATTGAGCCAAAATAGTCTGTTTCTTTGATTTCCAAGAAACAGCTCCACCAGCTATGCTAAATATATAGCCACTGGTTGCTTTGGAATCATCTGAAAGAGTGTTCCAATCAGCATCGCTGTATCCTTCTAGGACAGCTGGAAACCTTTTGTAATGTAAACCAAGGTTTATAGTTTTCTTAAGGTATCTCATTACCCTTTCAATAGCATGCCAATGCTCCATACTAGGTCTACTGGTAAACCTGCACAATAGTCCAACAACATAGGCAATGTCGGGTCTAGTGCAATCAGTGGCATACCTAAGGCTGCCAATGATGCTAGCATATTCTGTTTGTCTTACACCTTCACCAGTGTTCTTAAAAAGTTTTACACTTGGGTCATATGGTGTGCTAGCAGGTTTACAGTCAAAGTATTTATATTTCTTTAGGATCTTTTCTACATAATGTGATTGATCCAGAGAAATTCCTTCCTTTGACCTAGTAATCTTTATACCAAGGATTACATTTGCCTCTCCAAGGTCTTTCATATCAAAGTTGTTACACAACATTGATTTCACATTATTCACAACATGAATGTTGGAACCAAATATGAGTAGGTCGTCTACATAGAGACATATGATAGTGTAAATGTCATTTTCTGATTTGTAATAAATGCATTTATCACTTTCATTCACCTTAAACCCATTCGATATGATTAAGTTATCAAACTTTTCATGCCACTGTTTAGGTGCTTGCTTAAGACCATACAATGACTTGTCTAACTTGCAGACTTTATTTTCTTGCCCATGGATTACAAAACCTTCAGGTTGTTCCATGTAGATTTCTTCTTCCAAATCACCGTTTAAAAAAGCGGTTTTAACATCCATTTGATGTACTACTAAATCATGTATCGCAGCGAGCGATATTAGTACTCTAATGGATGTTGTTCTAGTAACGGGTGAAAATGTATCGAAGAAATCTACATTCTCTCTTTGTCTGAAACCTTTGGCTACAAGGCGGGCCTTGTATTTATCCACTGTGCCATCAGGTTTCAGTTTCTTTTTCAAAACCCACTTACAACCAATCGGTTTGCAACCAGGTGGCAAGTCAGTCAAATGCCAAGTCTTGTTAGACTCTAGAGAATCCATCTCATCATTTATGGCTTCTTGCCATAAATCAGCATCCAAGGAAGTCAAAGCTTCTTGGATAGTTGATGGATCATCTTCCAATGTATAGACCATATAATCAGGTCCATACTCCCTAGCAGTTCTTGTTCTCTTACTTCTTCTAGGTTCTACTTCTAACCCATCATCACTATCTCTAATCACAGGTGTGTGACTAGATGATGTGCCCCCACTATTCCTCAATTTAAAAGGGAATTTCTTTTCATCAAAGTCAGCATCATTAGACTCAATGATTACTTTAGCGTTAAGGTCATAAAACCTGTACGCTTTGCTGTTTATAGCATACCCAATGAATACACATTCATAGGCTCTACTAGCGAGTTTAACTCTCTTGGGGTCTGGTATCCGGACATAAGCCAGACAACCCCAAGTTCTGAAATAAGACAAATTAGGTTGTCTATTCTTAAAGAGCTCATATGGGGATACTTTGCTCTTAGTCTTGGGGACTCTATTTAGCACATAACACACAGTTAATAAAATTTCACCCCACCAAGAGGGTGCTGCACCAGAACTTAACATGATAGCTACTACTAATTCAGTTAATGTTCTATTTTTTCTTTCAGCTTTACCATTCATTTCAGGTGAATATGGTGCAGTTGTTTCATGAATAATGCCTTTTAATTTATAAAAATCATTAAACATGCTAGAATCATACTCAGTGCCTCTATCGCTCCTGAGTTTCTTTATTTTCTTATTGAATTGATTTTCAATTTCAGTTACATAGACTTTAAACATATCAAGTGCATCACTTTTATTTTTCATAAGATAAATATAAGTGAAATCAGAGCAGTCATCTATAAAAGTTATAAAATATCGTTTACCATTTCTGGTTAACGTTCCATCTAATTCACATATATCAGAGTGTATCAAATCTAAGGGTTCAGATTCTCGCACTACTGATTTATGTGATTTTTTTGTTATTTTAGCTTGACTGCATGATTCACAATTTTCAAAATCATTTTTAGATAACTTGGGAATTAATCCTAAATTACTCAAATTTGTAATAGCACGTTTATTGATATGACAAAGTCTAGAATGCCAAATAGAAAAATCACACAGCATGTAAATAGAATCAGAAATTTTATTAATTGAAACTTCAACATTTAACTTAAACATGCCATCAGTGGCGTACCCCTTCCCTACAAATACCCCATTCTTAGTAAGAGTGTACAAGTCTGCTCCTATTGTCTGGGTAAAACCAGCCTTATTAAGAAGAAAACCTGATACTAGATTCTTCCTCATCTCTGGAGTATGCATCACATCTTTGAGTATCAGAGTTCTCCCAGATGTAAACCTCAGCTCCACATCACCAGTTCCAGCAACAGTAGTGGTGTGAGAGTCTCCCAGCAGCACTTTCTTGTTATCAGCATTCGTGTATGTTTTGAACATAGCACGATCATAGCAGACATGGCGGGATGCACCAGTATCTACCCACCACCCATCACTTCCTCCAATCATTGTGACTTCAGTTAACACTGCCACAAGTGGATCCTCAACCATGTTAGCTTGTGGAGTATGATCCACTGGTTGGTTCCTGCACTTTCGTGCCATATGACCTGGCTTCCCACACTTGAAGCAGATAAATAGGTTGCCAGAGTCATTCTTAGCGGGTGGTTTAGCATATTGGACCTTTTTAGAGTTCCAATTCTTGTTGCGGCCGGTGATCTTAGCCTTATTCCCATTGCGGTTCTGATTCTTAAAGTTGCTGCCCGAAGGCTTCAGAACTGCACCTGAGAATTTCTTTCTAGTGCTATGGCTTGATAAAGCCAACACTTCTTCATTCTGATCTTGCTTACGAGCCTCTTCCTCAATGCGAAGACGAGTGATCAGAGATTCCAAAGAAAATTCTTTGGTCTTATGTCTTAGGACGTTTTTAAAGTCCTTCCAGCTAGGTGGCAGTTTGTCAATAATGACAGCTACCTGAAATTGCTCATCTAAGGGCATACCCTCAGTGATGATCTCATGAGCAATTTTCTGAATCTCGTGGGACTGAGATTCTACTGATTTATCATCAGTCATCTGATACTTGAGGTAGCGGCTAACAGCATATTTCTTAGTCCCAGCTTCCTCAGTATCATATTTCTTTTTGAGTGCCTGCCAAACTAATTTGGCAGATTTATATGGGATGTAATAATCATATAGATCATCAGACAACCCACCAAGAATGAAATGCTTACATAAGTAGTCATTATCATTCCACAGAGCAATATCCATAGCTAGTTTTTCCCTTTCCTCTTTCTCAGCTTCTTCAGGGACTACTGGAATATCTTCCTTCAAAACGTGGGCAACTTTTTTAACCGTTAGGAAAAATTCCATCTTGGTTTGCCAGCGTTTGAAGTTAGTCCCGTCAAACCTGAATGGTCTGCTTAGGTCGAAGCTGTTCGGACCAGTAATATTATCTACGAGTGCCATTGCAGACGAAACGTCTTAAAATTGTTGTATCAGTAGCCTGCAACAATGACACGAGATAATCTTTACTGGCTGAGTCACGACCAGGTCGCTCTCTTTAAGACGTTTCGTGGTACTGCCTCAAGGTGCAAGCAGACTATCAACCACGCCGTCCCCAGGATAAAACAGCCCAGATCTCTGTTATACGATATCTTACTGCACTGTAAGAATCGCTATCGAATACACCCAAAATATGGCTACCAGTGCCAATTCAGAAATACCCACAATATTGGAATATCTTATTCCAACTCTAGTGCCACGGAAAGAAAGGGAGAGAAGGAGGCCGGAAATGCGTCGGCAGAAAATATTGAGGGAGAAAGAAAAGAGCAAGTAAATTCGTACTTGCTCTTGGTGCGAATATTAATGAGGAGGGGAGGCCTCTATTTATAGCGTGAGGCCTCCAACCGACCCTCCATCCAACGGCCCAGAAAAATTGCATCTACAGCGTGGAGGAAGCTGGGGCGCGGATCCACCTCCTCAAATACCGGGTCGTGCAAGTCATGCGGCGACTCGAGCATGTTCTCGATCCTTCCTTCCTCACGTCCTCACGTGTGGTGACTTGGTCAATCATGACCTGGTCATCCACACGGCCCAAATGCATGGCAAAGGCCCAACCGAGCCGAGCCGATTACATTCCATTTGATTCTTTTGTTTCACTTCCAACATAAACCTTGGCAGTAGAGAACCCAAAATTGAGTATGGGCAAGCACCAATAAGTGGCAAGGCATTGACTAGCAATATACTCCCTCTGGTCTCAATTGTAAGCAAAAATACATGGTTTTTTGGTCTCAAATTTAACTACATTTACATATTCCCAATATGAGTTTTAATTGAATCAATTTCCCATATACCAGATGGTGAATAATAATTCTAATTCTTTGTAATTTTTATTAAATCAAAGCAAACACCGACTCCTATTTACTAAAACCAACTTGGCACATTCTTCCCGGGAGACAAAGAGCCCCTCTGTTCTGTTATGTTTAAATATTTGCATTACTAAAATGATTAACATCAATTTGTGGAAGAGGAGACTAACATCAAATTGTGGAAGTTGAACACCAACTTGAGAATGGACTCGATGTCTAAGGGCATCAAATTTTGGTGTGAGTGCTTTTGCTGCAGGTCCCCCATCAACTCCATATTCATTAAATCTGTATGTGTATGCCACAGGGCACACATAAAAACTGTAACATCAGTACAACATAAAAACAGAGAAAGAAAAGCCACAAAACATAATCAACAACAACTGCTTCCAAGATTCAAATGTCAAATGGGACAACTTTCTAATACCTATAGTGAATAAGTCAAGACAGTAAGCATTAGCATTAGCATTTAGCTGGTAACACCATAAACATTCTAATACCTATAGTGAATAATACTTAAAAAACCTAATTTTACCAAATACTTTGCTACCCAATTGTGTCACACACACTCATAGTCAAGTTAATAAAAAAATAGATTGATAAAGAAAAATTGGGTAATGGTAATTGAATGCAATATTATTAAAATAAAAATAAAAAGGAATGTATAACCTAAAGAGCAATTAATTATGAAAGATGAGAAGATCTATCTAAGAAGTATAATAAGAAAAGGAAATTGAATGCATGGATATAAATAGAGTGAATGCATGGATATAAATGTAAGAAATGGAAGTAGAAATAAAATGAAGTATTAATAAAGTAATTTGCACACCGATCATGAACCGGTATGTGTGAAAGTAATTTAGAAACATTGCTTGCACCAAACACTTTATGTATCGCTGCAAATCTTGCAGGCCCTTGTTCTGAGCAAATATGCAATCAACTGCACATTTTCTTCTTAGGAACTTGCATGCTCCACAAGGAGAACCACTTCCATTTGTATAAAGCACACGGGCACACTAGGAAATGGTGCAAAAATCTGAGGGTGAAAATAGTTATAGGGGATGTGGGACATTAGGAATAAAGGGTCTTAATAAATGCGTGTAATGGTTTTGGTGGAATGAATGATTAAGAAAGAAATGATTAATAAATACTTAGGAACTGCTGCCATTTGTTCTTTTCTGACTCTCACTTATTCCACTGCCAACTGCCGGTAATCATAGTTTGTGACACACCATTCTATTACTTATTTATTTGTAACATAACATTAGTCTCCTAATCTAATGTTTCATTCATCCCATAAGACCCAACAAAAAATACAGTCATGGCCCCTCTACCTGTAGTTATTCCATGTTCGTGATCTACTAATCCCCCTCCTTCTATATGTGTTGCTAGCTATCTGCTATTAATGCAGCCATTTGATATTAAGTTGAATGGAGAGGCCATTTACCTATTATTCATATTTATTAATAGTATAAGAGTTTTATACATTATCATTGTATCATCTATTATTCATATTTAATTATCATTGATTCTTCAAAAAGTAATAAAAATGATATTGAGTGTGTATATATCTTTATATTCATAGTTTATTGATTCATAATGTATTGAGATTATACCGTTTGATCAATGTTCTTACTACACTTTCAACAATTAGCCTATTCTAACTTCTGGTACGTGATATATTCTTGTATATGGCACACAAATTAACATTTGATGTGCAAATTTGTTATACAAATAATAGAACTTTTCTTACTTCTGATAGATTCTATATTAACAATAGAAAAACAATGATATGTAATGAAATAAATAAATAAAATTATATTAAAAATGCACACAAAAATTGTGTTGGTTTATTATTATCCGACTTACAAATCCTCCGTGGAATAAAAATATATGATAAAGTTGGGTTAATATTTGGTTGCCAGCGTCGTCAGTTATTTGCATGCACGGTGCTGGTCCTGTTCAGGGCTATGTAATGATAAATCTTTTGATAAAAGATTATAATGTACTAGTTGAAGATTTGTGTTTGATGGTCAAGGATGATCATTGGATCCACCAGTGGCTGGTGCAGAGCCATTTGGAAGTGCCTGTAAAAGAAGGCCATATTCCCTGGCCCTTTGAAAATGTAACAATAAAGGTCTTCCTTCTACACCACCTTGAGGAGAAGCAACAAAAATTGCCAACATCATCACCACAATTATAATAAGCATCTTGTTGTAAGAGAAAGTCATTTGTATTTGTGTGAAATGAAATTATAGAATATGAGTAATGAAATTAATGTTTTGGTGTGGAGAAAGGAGACATACACTTTGTTTATTTATAGGGAATGGAATTGACCCTTTCTATGGTATGCTATCTACTTACTATTTTTCAATAGTTTGAAAGTTGAAAAATACCTTGGACTCCAAACATCCTCAATACTGTTTCAAATCGCACACAATTACGTCCTAAATACTTATGTTACAAATGAAATTCAAAGTAAACAAAATTAGGGTCACGTTTTTTATTTCTTCTTGCATATTGGATTTATTTTCATTTATTCCCACTTCTGTTTATTCACTTTCTTGCATGCCCCAAATTTTCATTTCATTTTCTCTTAGTCAATTCCTTGCAAACACCGGTCCCTAGATTTAGCTAAATCCAATGTGGACTATTATCGTTAACTATTCTTAATGACCAATCTATAAAAATGGAGGTGAGAATAGAATAGGTCGCCCAAAACATATGGCTCAATAAAATAGTTTGCTAAACATTATGTCAATAGCTTATATAATTAAAAACATCATACTTAAACTTAAAAAAACATTTAAAGTTAAGAGAACGGTTTGTTTACTCTTATTAACTATTATATATTATAAATTAGATTAGTAAATTAGTGATTCCCCGTGATTTTTAATGAAATTATACAAATTACTTTTTCATTTTTTTACACCCACAAAAAACTCTAATTTATATACGTATATTACACTGATTACCTATATCTGAGAAATAAGTATGATATTTTAAACAAAAATAATGATAAGTGTAATTAAATTAAGGAGTTATTAACTTTCATTATTTTTTGTTAATTACAAAATGCATGAGTAACTCTAAGGATGTATTGTTTAAAGCAATCTTATATTATATTGTAACTAACAAAATATAATGAAAATGTATTGACTCATATAATATTTGGATTTGGTTTTACGATATACAATTTCTTATACAGTGGTAGTTAGTGTAATATATGTATATAAATTATGGAAGGGTTTTGTAGGTATAAAAAATGGATAAACGATATGTATAATTTCACTAAAATTCAAAAAGTTATTTACCTATAAACTTATGATAATATATTCTATTGTTTATAATATTATATATGAGTATTTATTGAGTAGAGGTAATATTGGCACATTTTTTCATGTATGTTGATGGACATATTTATAGGTGAAAGTTATTTACCTATTTACATGTGAAACTCTATTTAAAACCTTATGAAAAAATTGATCTTTAAGTAGATTTGTAGGTGGGGATTGGAGTTTGAGTTTGAAATAATCTTAAAATTTGGGATATGATAGTTTAATAGGTTATAGTGAAAGTGTGAATTAGGAAAGCAGGTTAAATACATTTATTTATATTGAGTGAGAGTAAGGCTCTATCTATAAAATAAGATAGAAAAAGTATGAAAGGTTTTATGAGATACAGTTAAGTTAGAAGTTGGAATGAATCAATGAGACGTGGGTGGAAGGGTCATAGTAAGAGACTATATATTTTGATGAAATCAATTCAAAACATAAATGAAGGAAGCAACATAGGAAAGTAGTGGATTCGTTACCATGACCCGACCCAGCATCTATGACCACCTTAGCCTAAAAGCTATGATCATTGTTTACTTCCGCATTTTAGGGAATAACCACCAGATTTCAAACCAGCAACCTGCCAGAAAATGGCATAATCCCACTTGGACACCTCAACAATAACATCAGAAAAAACATCCTTTGAAATTGTAGTGAAACAGATATGAGATAAACCTGAGATTCAGATGAGAAGTGGTCCATTTGATTCAGTTCCGGAACTGAAATGAATTTGATATCAGCAATACCAAATACCAAATAATACTTTATCCATTTTTCCTTTATATTCTCTGTTCTGTGTGCTTTTCTTCAATCAAGAAATACTCACTTAAGGATTATTACTCTAACTTTCTATTTATTTCTATGAGTGAGGATAAGCTGGGTTAGCCTGGGTGAAATTTGTCCCTTGCTCAATCCTAATGTTGATTGGGTCATTAATTTGAATTTGGACCTAACTCTATACTCGAAATTAAACCAATCCTTAATGTCGATTGGGCTAGCCTTTGAGACTGAACTCCATGTTGTACCCAATTAAATATAATATACACATCTTTCAAATAAAGTTTTCTT